AATAAATTCGCCGAAGCGCGAGCGAGCTCACATTGGCGCGCCGCACGAAATTGCCTCGGGGTCTTTTAAGAGTTGCTTAAATAACCGAAGTAATCGACCAATTATCCAAAGCCAGTTCCGACCGGTGGAACGACCTTCGTCGATTGGGGGATTGCAGCAACGGCCGAGTCATTCCGAATAACGACATCGGGCGATCCACAATCCGGATCCTTTTGTGGATCACGAAAATTTGTGCCTAGCCGTGTTCACACCTCACGCCTAATGACACGATAATCGGATGGCATGACTGTCGAGTCTTGATGAGAGACGCAACAAGAAATTCCAACCAGATCTGTGCACCAGCGGGAGCCTGGAGCAAATCCGGCAGAAAAATATCCGGAAGATTGTCGTCAGCGAGAACGCGAGTCGAAATTTGGACCCTACTTTCGACTTCAGCATCTTATTTGACGCTTACTTTGATATTCGTAGTCTACAATATCAACTTCTTTTGATTCTATCAATAAATAATCGACATCATAATAGATTCTTACGTGAACAATACGATGGTGAGAAATTAGATCGACGCCAGACGCTTAATTTCAACATTATGGAACAATTCAATGCCGAGAGGTCCTCTTTAGGACTTACAAGTGGCATTTTGTGCGTTTCCCGCCATTTAAAGGGTCCAAGTAGGACTTGACTGAGTTTCCATGTGTATTAAACATAAACTGATCCTTAAGAATGTACAGATGTTAGAAAGTTCAGGCCGAAAGTGGGACTAAAATTCCGACTCGGCAAATAATCGAGGTAAAGCTGCGGCGGTTTTCATCATTGAGCGAGAGAAGTTGATGCAAATAAGCCTCTAGATATCTGAGCTTAACTAGCAAGAGATGTCTTTACTTAATTCTCGGTGTGATCTGTTGCTACTGTAATTTATCTCGATGAGATCTTGTTTGGGTTTTAACTAGTCAAAATGTGTGTTTAATAGTATTGAGCAATCAGGGCGAACGATGAAATCGATCAGGAGGTTATCAGTAATATTAGGGATTTAGAGAGCAATCTGCGTAGCAGACGATCGTGAGATATATCATCAGGCGTTCTCAAACACGCAATCGTTGTTGTAAAAAAACCGAGATGTATCGCAAACGAGGCGCAGAGCCCGATTGTTTTCGCGCTTTCTGGGAGGCGGCTCGGGAGGGCAACTCTCTCGAGTGAACCGTGCGGGTATTAACGACTTGACCCCATTATCGCACCGCATAAAATGCCGGGCACGTAAGAACGAGAAAAGAAGTAGGTGGCGAGGTGTATAAATGCGGCCATTAAAGGCCATTAAATAACGCCGCGAAAGGGTAGCCGAAGAGAGAAAGAGACGAATGTAGGGATTGCGGCGGCAGTAAACGCTCAACCAATGTTCCTCCTCAGTGAAGCGCATTATTAAATGGCGTCAGCTTGCGATATACGACGTATTAATAATCAAAACATCGCGACCTACCGCTCGACGCCGTTCAGTTTGAAAGAGGAACGTAGGAACGCGAACTTGTCAACCCTCTCAGAGCAAATTTCTTCACCTACAAGACGATCAAGTATATTAGATTCTTTGATGTCGAATGAAAACATTCACTCGACGATTCAGAATGGAAAATTCACTCTATCTAAAATAAATCACTCAAGTAATCCGACTGTCTTTTTGAGTGAAATTTCGCTCAAAGTAATTTAGAGAGTACAACACCCGCCTTGCTTGAAGTTCGCGACATGTGCGCAATTTTCGCTATGATCGCTCATTGTGAAATTCAAAGAAATCCCGTGAGTATACGGTCCACATTTCCGAGGCATACAGCCCCGCATATAATTCGGCAAGAAACCGATCCATATTTTCAAGGCATATTGCCCCGCAGATAATTCGGAGCCTCGGGCAGGCGGTCGAGTTCCTACCTGAGTCTATTATCTAAGCCGCGATAAATCGCCGAACGTAAATTGGATCGTGAATTTTTAATTCCGCGGGCAAGGCGGAACGGGCGCTTTGCAATCGTTCGAAATTATTGGCGTGCTTTTATTGTTTTCTTTTCCGTGTCGTGTTTGCTTCGAGAAACGCGCGCCTCTACTGTTTCATTAATATTTAAAACACTTCGGAATTTTAATCTAAAACAAGATATAAAGGAATGTATCTTTGATCCAAAAGTGAATATTGCATTTGATTAATCGTGAAATCAAACGACTGCAAATACTGTTCGGAATCGTTCTGTGCTTTTTGCAGCATAGAAACGTTCTTTCGTTCTATTTTTACGATATCACGTGTTCGCCGGATATATTGGATTTCCGCAAACAATGAAAACACGAGAGTCAATAACGTTCTAAACCTTTCTTTCTCTCTCCTTTATCCACGAACGAAGGTACCGTCGTTCCGGTCGACTCGCGGGATCGCAGCGCATCGCTTAATTATCGAGAAAGAAGGAACGAAAAGGTGAGTTTGTCGGGAATGCTCTCCTCGTGGGTGGACTAAGTCGGCTAACGCGGAGGTCGCCGGGGTCGGAGGTAAGTCGTGAGATCTTCCCACGAAACACAAACGACGCCGTACACACGACGCCGGACAGAGACTTTTATTATTCCCACCGCCCTTTTTCACCGCTCGCGTCGCGCGGAAAATGCGTACCGAGTCACGGGCAACGACGTACAGAGTAATGAAAAAGCGTGAGATCGGCGATGAAGGGGAAGGGGAGAGAGAAAGAGTAATCGAGGATGCGAAGCAAACTGAGAGACTGCAGCGCGTCGTGAGAATTACAAGCTGTTTAATTACCGCCGATAAAAAATTATTCTATGGTCTATTTTGAACAAGATAAAAACTATACTGAGAAAAAATATATAAAAAATAGTAAATATTTATTTGGCGGATACTGATAATATATTTATCTGAATATAAGTCTTTTATTTAATCAGCATAACCAATTGTTTGCGTGAGAAGCTAAGGTCTCTTGAGGTTTTCTCTTGAGGTTTCAAGAAAGTATATATTTTCTTATTTGAAAAATAGTTTATATTAATATAAGTAAATACGTTATCGATATCCACTGAGAATAAATATTCGCTATTTCTTGGATATCCTTTCTTTCAATGTGCAAGGACTATTTTTAATCACTTATCATATGCATATAATTTGTAATTTCGAGTCACTCGAGCGCGGAAACAATAAGCGAGAAATGTTGACGCGTTAAATTCGACTTATTCGGCTCAAATATCGCTGATGACGAATTAATGAGGATTAATACAAAAAGCGGAGGATCTTAAGAGGCACGAAATCACGATAACAAATGCGTCCAATTGCCGTCTCGCATTATTCGCGACGTGAATCGACGCGCGAGACTCGAGAGACGAGTCGGGCGTGAAATCAAAAGTCCGATGGATGGAATCGAGTCAGAGTATCGATGAGCGACACGAGGCGACGACACGAGGCGACGACACGAGGCGACGACTCGCCTTACGGACCTTCATTCCCTTTAGGAGCGTGGCAGGTGAGAGAGTCAACCTTGCGGGACTACACAGGAAACGCGTGAACTCGTGCAAATCCAGGTAGCAATTATCCGGAAGAACGGTATATTAACCCGGAGAAATACAGAAGAACGCGGGAGTCACGGATACACAAGCATCGTCATCGTCGTCGTCGTTGTCGTCACTATCGTCGTTGTTGTTATTGTTTCTTTGTCCACAAGAATCGCAGTGATGTATGAGAAGTTCTCAAGATTTCCTCGTGGGAGTTTAATTACCATTTCTTCAAAATATGTTATCCCACTGTCTTATCGATTCTTATGCTCGTTAAAGCCCAACAGAACTCAATCTCTTTTCGTGCGGGTATATAAATTATGGATAATCATACCTTACTCAACTATAATTGCAAAGATACGCGATAATGTAAGTTATATACGCGGCAACGTAAATTATATACTTTCGAAGTGATTTAAGAACCTTCGACAATTTGTACATTTATTGATTCATCGCGTTTCCGCTTGGAATATGAATCGTCGCTGAAAGTGGCAGTTTCTAATGCCACCCGATCGCACAGAGCTGACAGAGTCGTTCTCTTTCTTTAGCTCCAAGTGTAAACGTTTGGTGAAAAATTCCCGAGACTCCGCGACAACTAGGCGAAAAATCGCGACTCACGCTCGCTCGAATATCCACGAAGGGAGCAAACGAGAGATCGTACGCGAAGGAGGAACGGAAAGAAATCCCATTCCCACGGCGTGAGAGCTCGCGAATTCATCGAGCGGATCTTCGGCGACACGGTCGCTGGTGAAGTACGCGCGAATACGCCTCAGTCCACGCGAATACGCTTCGATACCCTCGGATAGGGCTCAACGAGTCGTGCACAAAGTGTGGTCTATTCCGCTCCCCGGGAAAAGCGTGTAGATGAATCTTTCGCGGCGATGAAGGCGCCGCGATAAGAGACTATGCGTACATTTATCACGCCTTAACACGATTAACCCTGCCTTCTCTCTTTACGAGTGATGATTCTCACAAACTTCGCAGATACCGCGATTGTCACGAGAATCCGTTATTCCCGAGATACCGAACTCCGATTCTTTATTATGCTTCGTTATTGTTCCTGTTTTTATGTATTATTAATTGATAATTAATGCGCGTCTTATGTCTTCTATTGTGTACCCCCTCCCGATTACACGACATTTACATTTACGATGATGTGCCTCAATATATTTGCCTCAATATATTTCGTATAATAATATCATATAATAAATTTCATACACTGACAGAAAACATCTCTGAGAAATAAAAAGTATTTATTCAGGAAGTATTATATATATTAGTAATATATATATATATATATATATATATATATATATATATATATATATATTTTTTTTTTTTTT